ATTTTTATTGTTTTTTTTAACAAATACCAAATTGGTTTGATGATTACTGCTTTATAGTACAGTTTGAGATCCGATAAAGGCCTCATTGCTTCCTCTATTTTTTATTATTATATTTGGAAATTCTTGATAATTATTCCTCCAGATGAATTTGGTAATAATTTTTATTGTTGGTTTTCTTAGTATGTTATTTTATTAAATACTTTTGGACTAACTCCATCCTCTGGCTTGCTGGAAAAAATAAACACATTGATGGGAACTTATGAACTATGGTTTTCAGTAGATGAAGACACATAGAACCTGGGTTATCCTTGTCAGGGTTCCTACTGTGGGAGTTGTAAAGTGCTTCCAGATATTTGTTTATAAACTTCTTCCTCAATCAACATCTCTTAAGATGAGTTTCATCCTCTCAGTTACTTTCCTTGTCCTTTCCTGGCTCTGTTACATTTTTTTGAGTTCCAATAATGATCATTGTATGTTATGTGAGGGTTTCAGATGTACGTATACCTGATTTTATATGGCACGGGTTTTTATTTTATTTTCATACCTTTCATGATAATCAGAGGCATTTTCTTGACTTTTTTTGGCTACATTATCAAATTAGGCCAACATCTTCAGGGAAAAGCCAACAATGACACCAAATTTTTTTTTTTTTTTTTTTTTTTGCTTAGGCAATCAGGGTTAAGTGACTTGCCCAGGGTCACACAGCTAGTAAGTGTCAAGTGTACTCAGGTCCTCTTGACTCCAAGGCCAGAGCTCTATCCACTGCGCCACCTAGTTGTCCTGATGACACCAAATTCTAAAGCTCATATTTCATTGTCACCTTGTTAATTCAGGTTTCATATCTGGGATGAAATGAAGCACTCATATGTCATTAGATAGTTAAAAGGAAGTTTACTTAGCCCTAACATAGCATGGATATACAATATCACTTACTTCATGTAGATGCAACCCCCCTCATCTTTATATGAAAATGTGTCTGGTGAGCAGGGCAGGGTTTATATGGTCCTCAGGAATCCACCATGTTGGAAGGGCACCAATACCGCATAGGTGAAACTTTCTTTTTATGTCCCTAGGTGGTTAGGAAGCCATGTAAAACAGCCAGAAGTTACCAGCCTTACTATCCAGACCCTTTAGGAAGATTGCTTTGGCAGTCAAATGGAGGACGGACTGGAGTAGGGAGAGACTTGTGTCAGGCAGACACAGAAGTTTGATAAGGGGCTAGGGGTTTTTGGGAAAGATAATGATTTCAGTTTTGGACATATTGAGTTTAAAATATCTACTAGTTATTCAATTTGAGATTTCTGATAGGCAGATGGAAATGTGACACTGGAATTAGACTAGGGCTGGATAAACAGATTTGAGATTTATCAGCATAGAGATGATAGTTGAATCCCTGGGAGCTGATGAGATCACCGATCAAGATAACATAGAGGGCAAAAAGAGGGGGCCCCAAGATAGAGTCTTGGGAAACACTCAAAACTAGGTGCCAGAAGTGAAGATTTAGCTAAGGAAACTGAGAAGGAGAGGTCAGATAGGTAGATGGGGAGCTAAAGAGGAGTTACAAGGCATTCCCAAGCCTAAATCAGATTGCTGTTTGGGACAAAAGACTTTGGTTTATCTTGAGATACTGTAAATTCAAAGAATAAACAATCTGAGCTTGGGACATTCTGCCTAGCTTTTGTTTGAAGGTATTTTAGATAGAATGACTTTAGATAGGATTTTAGATAAGTGACTTATAGCCTAGGCTATGAATAAAAAGCTGTGTGAACCTTACCTTAAAAGGGCTATGCTAATATGGTATAATTAAAAAGGTGTTAGGTTTGGAGTCAGAGGTTGTTGTTCAGTCATTTCAGTCATGTCTGCCTCTTTGTGACCCCATTTGGGGTTTTCTTAGCAAAGATACTGGAAGGAAACTGAGGCAAACAAGATTAAGTGACTTTCTCAGGGTCACACAATTAGTAAGTGTCTGAGACTGGATTTGAACTCAGGAAGTTGAGTCTTCCTGATTCTAGGCCCAGTGCTCTATGCACTATGGTGCCACCTAGCAGAGCACCAGAGTTAGCAGAGAAGTCACAGGATCAGGATTCAAATCCCAGCTCTGGTACTTAATATCCTTGTGATCTTTGGCAAATCACTACGGACCAGAAAACGTAACCAAAGTCACTGAGAACTCCAAGAGTGATGAATCAATTTATCAGGGAGTCCAGGGGTCCCTAATTAATTGGATCTAAGATCTTCCTCATGTTTAAGGACCCCGGTGGCTTGAGGGTGGCCAGTATTTCTACAGATTGAGAGCACGCTAAAATTAGAATGAGACAGTACAATTTTATGATTGGTTAACACCAGAAGTGGGGAAAACTCTACGATCAATCATAACCACTTTGCCCACAGGGCTTTCAGAAGCCATCAACTCCAGTTATTTCAACTGGGACCAACATCCTGGGGCCTTCCATAAGTCATAAGACCCCAGTGTTTGACCAACCGTATCCTAGGGTCCAAGGAAGTTGTAGTTTTGAAGCAAATGTCACTAGGGAGTAGACGGCAGTGATTCACAGGGGTAGGGGTGGGTATTGCACCAGCAAATGAACTTCATTACAGAGTGGGGGAAATAATATAGTGATTAAACTCTCATTACATTTGTTTTGTTTTGTTTTTGTTTTTTGCTAGGCAATGGGGTTAAGTGACTTGCCTAGGGTCACACAGTTAGTAAATGTCAAATATCTGAGGTCACATTTGAACTCAGGTCCTCCTGACTCCAGGGCCGATGCTCTATCCACTGCACCACCTAGCTGCCACCTAGCTGCCCTCTCTTATTACATTTCTAATTAACAATATGAACCTAGCTGATAAATACAATAGAATTGACAATACATTATTTGACAAATTAATCATAACTCTTATCCTAACAGCATTAACATACATAATTAACTTAAACTTAATTTCATTCTGCTTAATTCCCTAATACAATCATTGATACCCATTAAACCACAATGAACTGAGTAAATGCTTATTAATTTGAGAAGGGAGTATCAAAATTACTGTCACATCACCTAACTCTAAGCTCTCTGGGCCACAGCTTCCTCATTGGTAAAATGAAGGTGTTGGACTTAACGAACTTTGGAGGTCCCTTCTAGCTTTAAATCTATATTCCCATGATCCTAGTCACTGAACCTAAGGTGGCAATATGGCCACATTTAGCTCTTAAGAGAAGGTAACTCATCTGAAGATTATAGCTGAATGCCATTAGGTGGCTCTTTGGAGAGTGAAAGTGGGCAGATAGAAGATATGGTATGACACATATCAGGCAGCAGAAGAAATGCAACATTTGTCAGAAGTCCCAGAAGAGCAGCATGATCCTATCATTAGAAGAGATTAGAGGACCCAGAGCACCAGAGGTATGAATTGTACCTGCCCCCCACCACCTCAGTGTGTGCTGGCTACATCTTCCCTTTGTGTATAACGCCTACCCCCCAACAGTACTGATGGATGTCCACTTTTCCAACTGATTGTGAGTGAGCCTGAGGGGTGGGGTGGAGTTGGTGAGAGATGAGACAGAAGAGAGATGTCTCAGGTTTCTGTGGGCTCTTCAAACTTCGAGTGATTCTTCTGGCTTTCAGCTTTGTTAGAGAAGCCAGGCCATTCCAATTTCTTTCTAGGGCCATGAAGGGAAAAGACTCTGGGAAGAAGCCAACGTGTAGAACCTAAATCTCTCCTTATTCTGAGCTTGTTACATTAGAGATGACAAGGAATTTCCCCTTGGGTGAGATCTGGGATTCTTTTGGTTGAACTGAGTTGCCTCACATCCAATAGAAGAACTCCTTCACTCTATATTGCCTGGTATATATTCTCATACTCATACTTTTCCTGACTTTTGTTTTGCTGTCCATTTGGATAAATGGATTTCTTTGTTATTTGCTGTTTGTTCATTGTGGAACTGGTGGAGCTTTGTATATAAAGATTGGGATCCTCCTTTCCCTGTTAATGAATAGTGACTAGAAGTTTAGCCTGAATCTTAAAATGACACCTCCTAGCTTAACATTATTTAAGAGAGCAGAGATATAATTCTGGCTCAGTACCCTCTTTCTTGAGTAAAGCACAGCAGTGACCCCAAGGCCCTAACTTTCTGTTTCTCCTCCTGGCAGGAATTAAAATCTCCCTTGGAAAAGGGTCCAGGGAGAAGAGTTTAGAGATGTCTATTCTGCCTCCCTTCCATACATACAAGGACATATCTATTCTACATGTAGGAGACAGTCTTGCTACCCAGACAATCAATAAAATAATAAATCAAGTCCTGATTTCCAATGTAAATGTCCAGCATATTCCCAGCGACTCCTTTCAAATACTGATTAAAAAAACCAAGAAACATATGTCAATAGTCAAACGAAATAAATGCCATGCATACTTGTTACAAGGGTTTTATTGTTCGAAAAGCCTTTATATTCTCTCCTACCTTTCCCACACAATTAAAAAAAAACTTTTAAATTATATGTTTGGAGGGGAAGTGGGAGAGAAAATAAATGCTTAATTGAAAAATAAAATAAAATGAAAAAAAAAACCACCCACACATTTGCACACACTTACACCCACACGTCAACTTGAACACTTTCCAGGATTAGGAACATGAGATGAATGTTGGCCATTGCCTTCCCCATTTCTCAGTCTTAGACTAGCCCTCCATCCTTTTCCGCACTCTCTTCTTTCCTGTCCAGTCTTGCTACTTTCCAGGGGTTGCTAAGCAACAGCCAGTCAGGAGCTCTTAGGAACATTCTCTTTACCTTCTACTTCTCCAAGGTAGAGACGCCGGGTAAACGCCCCGATCCCAGCAGCAAGCATGCGCAGGAACGTTGCGCCAGGACCAGGCCTGTTGCTAAGCGACGGTCCCCACGCTAGACCCCTGCCCCCAGAGGAGTCTTGGACAACGGGGACTCTCCTTTTTTTTTGCTCCCTTCTCCGGCTCTCCGGGCTCCGGCGTCTGCCTGCGGTCCCCTCCCCTCTGAGCTATGGAAAAAACAGTGCTGTCGTTGCGGCTCTGCCCGTCGGAGGTGCGCTTCGCCAACGTGCAAGTCGGTATGATCTATAGCACTGAAATCAAGGTGCAGAACGTCGGTCGCAGCAACAAGAAGATCCGCTTCCTGGGGCCCCAGGACTCGCAGGTGATGAGGGTCCGGCAGGGTAGAAAGGAACGGTTCACCCAGGAGTGGCCTTGAAGACACTCTGCCCCCCACCATCCCACTTCCCCACAACCCTTCCTTTCTCTTCCTCCCGTAACTGCCCATGACCTCCCGGGGACGGGCTCTGCTGGAGAGGGGTCCAATCCTGGACCTTCCACCTCCTCCAGTCAGTCAATATTAAGCACTGTAATATGTGGCAGGCACCGGGGTACAAAGAAAGGCAAAAACAATCCCTGACCTCAAGTAGGGTACCTTGAGGCAACACGAACAAATGAATACAGCATTTTTGAAGCACTATGTGTAAAGCACTGTGCTAAGCGCTGGGGATACACAAGGAAAAGACGAGTCTCTGCACTCAACGAACTCACATTCTAATGGGGGGCAGGGGAGAGACAACACGTATGGAAGCTTTCAGCATGCAAACGACTATGTACATACAAAATAAATAGAAAATATTCTCAGAGGAAAGGGGCTAACATTAAGGGGAAAGCCCACTTGGAAATGGAGTTTACTGTGCAGGAAACACCAAGGAGGCCTGTGTGGAGGAGTGTAAAGTGTAAGAAGACTGGAGAGGCAGGAAGGGGCCAATTTGTGAAGGACTTAAAAAGCCAAGCAGAGGTTTTTATATTTGGGGAGCCACTGGATGCCCCTATTGAGTAGGGGTGTGACAGTCAAATTCCAGCTTTAGGAAAATCACATTGGCAGCTGACCAACCAGTGGGCTATTGCAGTTGTCCAGGCCTGTGCTAATGAAGGCCTGAACTAGGGTATCCACTATGTTAGCAGAGAGAAGGGGAGGTATAGGATAGAGGTTGTGGAGTGGGAAATGACAGGACCACCCTCTGTCCTCACCCCAACCTTGCAATGATTGTTGTTTGTTTTTGTTGGAAAAGGGAGAAAGATTAGGGGAGATGCTGCTAGAATTTCCCAGAATGCACCAGGCCTGATGCTTTTTCAACAGGATATATGGTGGGTCTGGAAGTTGCTCTGGAGTTATTGCCAGAACAATTCCTGACTTGTTAGCATTTCATGGGTGCATGTATATGTATTTGTATGTCTTTTCTACTCTGTGTCCTAAGAACTGTGCATTCTTTACTTTCATTCTATAAGGGAAGGGGGAAGGGAACAAGCATTTATTTAGTTCTGTGTGCTAGGTACTGTGCTAAGCACTTTACAAATATTATCTAACAGTCATCCAAGCATTTTTAGGCAGCTTAGCATAGTAAATAGAAGGCTGGACTTGAAGTCAGGAAGATCAGTAACAAATTTCCACCTGGGACACTTAGCTGTGAGTCCCTGGGCAAGTTACTGATCATCTCTGAACCTCAGGCAACTCTGTAAAGACATAAATTACCTGTTTTGGTTAGGTAGGTCCCAGCAGAATATCAACTCAGTAGGGCCATATATTGTTCCCTTTTTTTGCTTTTCTATCTCCTGGACCTAACACAATATTTTGCATATAGTGGGTGCTAAATAAGTGTGTGTGTGTGTTGAATGAATGAGTCCTTTATGTAATAATAAAATACTGGAAAAGCACCTGGAATACTTGGAAGAGTAGTAGGCTGAGTCAGAAGACCTGGTTTGTGCCAGCTCTGCCCTATGGGAACTTCAGAAGTCATTTAACTTCTCTCAGCCTCAGTTTTTCTCATCTAGAAAATGGGTATAGTAATACTTGGCCTCCCTACCTCATAGGGTTGTTGTGAGGAAAGCACTTTGTGAACTTTGAAGCACCACAGCAATACTGCATTATTTTTATGATTATTACTAAGGTCACTTTTTCACCAACCTGAAAATACCAGTTTATTGTTCAATAATTTTAATTTCTGTTTCCAATGTAGAATGGCTGTAAGGTTTCAAGCATTCATTCTTAATGGAATGGGGGGAAGGCAGCAAGTAACACTGTTGACTCTTCATTATTTCTCAGCCCACATGTCCAGTCAATTATCCAGTCTTGCCTTTTTAACTTTTATCCCATCACTCATGTCATGTCTCTTTCTCACTCCTTACACAGTTGGCACTGATTCATGCCCTCATCACCTCAATCCTCGACTGCAGCAGTGGTCTTCTCATTGGTCTTCCTATCTCAGTTTCCCCACTAGAATCTATTAATTTTCCTTAAGCATGAATGTGACCATGTCAACCCCTTAACTAAACTCCGGTGGTGGTCTTTGGTCTAAGAGAGACTGCCAAATGGCCATTCTTTTATTAATAACCTGCTGGCCTTATTAACAAAATGATTAAATTACCCAGAAACTATGTCTCTCAAACATTTTTAAATGTCACTGTTATGGCTAACCACGAAGGGATCAGAACTTTTCACTCTAGATTCTTAACAAGGAATCCCCCCCCCTTCAGTTGGGCCCATGTGGAGAGTTTCTCCTCAAGGAGAGTTCTCTATTAGGACTCTGGCCACAATCTGACTCTTCTTTTTTTTTTTTTTTTGTTACCAATTTTAAAAGGTGAAGAGCGGCAGGACAAAAAGGAGGGAAGATGAAGATGCTTTTACTCTGATACTATCCTATAGCAGTGTCAACAGTGACACAATTTTAAAGCCCAACACTATTATAGCAATTGCAGATAGCCATGGCATTGGATATCATGGATGCTATGGAAACACAGTTCTGAGAACTAATATTGACAGGATAGCCAAAGGGAGAAAGAAATTCACTCAGCACCGAGCTGCATCTCCACTGCGTACACCAAGTAGAGCAGCTTTCTTGATAGGCTGTTACTCTGCCCGATCAGGGATGGCTTCATGCTCTAAGGTTGGAGTGTTCTGTTTTCAGCTTCTTCAGGTGGTCTGCCTACAAATGAAATCACTTTTGCCAAGCTTTTGAAGAACTACAGCTATTCTACAGCCCTGATAGGAAAGTGGCACCTTGGGATAAACTGTAACAGCAGAGATGACTTCTGTCACCACCCTTTAAATCATGGTTTTTGATCACTTCTATGGATTGTCAGTGACAAATTTGAGAGATTGCAAGCCAGGATCAGGTGCTGTGTGTACCATGGCCATTCATATGTTCATTTTCATCCCCTTGCAAATTGTTGAAATTGCTCTTGTCACTTGAGGGGGACTCAATTGCCTTGGCCTGTTTCAGCACCCTCACTGGGGATTCTTTTCCTTTCTTTTATTAGCAGCCACTATTATTGGACTCTTAGCCTGTTTCCTTCATTTTTTTTTCCTGACCTTTAAACTGCATCTTGATGAGGGACCATGAGGTTGTATAGCAGTCAATGCCGTATGAAAATCTCATTCAGAGGTTGACCAGGGAAGCTCTCAAGTTCATAAACAGGTTGGTGTTGCTTGTGTACTGGGATTTTGCTCATGAAAACTGGCTAAAACACACATTTCCATTATGACAGTCAAACACTATCTTTATTTTAGCCTTCTTTTCTCTTCCATATTGAATAGATATCTAGATATATCCGTATCCAGTAGCATGTGAGGAGGGCACTTGGTCTGAATAAAGTAATAATATGAAAAATAAAAAAAAATAAACTTCAATGGTTTCCCATTACCTCTAGGAGCAAATATAAATATGTTTGACTTTTAAATCCCTTCACAACCTAGTCCCAACCTATTTGTCCAGCCTCATTATCATTACTCACCTTCCCACATCCCTCTAGCCAAACGTCCTTGCTGTTTCCTGGTGTTGTACTCCATCTCTCTTCACTGGCCATTCACCATGCCCGGAATACGTTTTCACCTCACCTCCACCTTAGGCTCCACTTTCTACACAAAGCTTTCATGATACCCCCCCAACTACATTATATTTTATCTTGCATTTATTTTGTACTTATTCTCTATATACTTAAATATGTACATGTTATCCCCCCGACAGAACGCAAGCTCCTTCAGAGAAGGGTCTGTTTCTTTCTTTTACTTTTTGTCTTTATATACCCAGTCCCTAGCAGAATTCCTGGCATATTGGCTCTTAATAAATACTTTTTGATTGATTGATGATAATTAATTAGTTCCCAGGCTGACTTTTGGTCAAGGAAACAACTTGGGAGAAATATTGTAATATTTTTGGGAGATTAGTAAATTAATTTTTTGATACCCTGGTAAGTCTGAAAGGACTTCTTTTTGAAACTCAAACTGGTAGTAAGTCAACTCATTTCCATATTAGGTGGTGGGTTTACAAAGTTTGACATTGTTCCAAAGGAACTTAGAATCAAATGAAAGGAGAATTGCTCAGATAACTATGATAAAAAGAAATATGAGAGAGGTACAAAAGAGAGATCTAGGCATAAGGCTATGATAAATATGAGGAGAAAGGGAGTACTGGGACTTTGGGTATTAGGATTTCTGCTAGGGAAAGCTTCATGAAGGAGGTGACATCTGAGGGGGCCTTGAATGAAACAAATGACTTTAACAGATAGAGTGGAGATTGGCAGAATCCATTCCAGGTTTGGGTACCAGAATAAGCAGAGGTACAGAGACAGCAGAGGCCAAAGCAGGACAGAGGAGGCCATTTGACTAGAATGCAGAATGTCTTCAAGTTTATTAAGTATTTAATTTTAAAGGTTTTTGAAAGAATATCTCTTTTTTTTGATATATTGCTTTTGCAACATCATTTCTGAATATATTTCTCCCCATTCCTCTCTACTCAGTGAGCCATTCCTTGTAAACAAGATTAGAAAAGAGGAAAAAAAAGCATTTTAGCAAAATTATCCAGCATATTAACCATATAGGACAGTATATGAAACATTCTGCACCACTAGTCCCCAGACTCTGTCAAGAGAGAAGGGAGGTGCAGTTTTCGACTCTTCTGTGGGACCAAGCTTGGTCATTATAATTATACAATATTCAATTTCATTTTTTTTGTTTACATCACTAAACCAATGATCTCTTAATAGTCATATCCAATGACCATTTCTCAATTCTCCTCCTCCTTGAACTCTGCATAGCATATGATTGTTGACAATGTCATATTAAACACTTGTTATATGTCAGGCTCTATGGTAGGCAGTGGAGAT